TGCCTAGTAGCTTCGTACGCCGTACGGATGCTTGATTGGAAGGGTTAAGTCTGCAACTGATGCCCACCTACCCTCTTGTCATCCCTTATTCTCGCTCTTATTCTCATTTTCATTTCCCTTTTCTTCTTTTTTCCTCGTCGTTGCACACATTCTTTAGCACCTCGTCAAGATTTGGTTTTGGAACGAAACCTGTTGTACTCAGCCGAGCACTCGTGCATAGAAACACTTACGAATGTTACTAATGGGAGAAGAGATGGGAGTTTCCGAGGGGAGATCAGCATGGGATACACTAAGTAGCTATTTAGGTGCTACTTCACTCCTTTTTTATTTCTATAAGCCTCACAGTTCGCTTCTTTCGAATTTCGAGTGCACGATTACCTAACGGGTGACAACGTGCCATCTTTTTCCGCGCTCTTTCGGTTCGAGTTACGCATACGAATTTTTAATTCAGCTGAATTCCCAAGCCAACCCGCCTGGTAGGTTATACTATATACCTTCATTATATCAAGCACTCTGCTGCATTTAATAGACTCCTCGCAAACAATTCCGCCACTCGCCACACGCCATTATACCTCGCCAAGAGATCTACTTGGTTTTTATGGGCGGGGACTGGCACGTTCGACGAGGAAAAACGAATTTTAAGAAAATGTTGCTGTCGCGAATTTGGCAGAAGATAAGCAATGATTGCTATTGATCTCTTCATGCAAGATACGATCGTTGATAGCCTATATATATATATTTGCAACTTGTGAGAAAATAGTAACTGTATCGTGTGTATTGACTGCATATTTAGAAATTCATTCATGGATGATGGATAGCTGTTTTGATCGATGATAAAATGTTCAATGTATACAGATTTTCGGAAATGTATAAAATTTTAACAAATGAATAAATAACAAAGTATATAAATGTGTGGTAATTCGTGAGTTAAATAATTTTATCTGACTCTAAACTAAAATCTTCAGTCTCATGGAGTTGGTATGTACAGGGTGAAAAGAAATGTTTGGTTGTTATTGTTATAGCGTAATTCTACACCTTCGGTTTAATGGAGATTAAGGTAAAAAAGCTGTTACTAAATTTCCTTTGATTATAAAGAAAGGGTTAAAATTTTGTATTGCACGATCGTATTTTACTTATTGCGGAGACAAATAGTCTCAAAGGAACCATAGGTCAAAAGTGAATAGTTTTCTTGTAAATCTCTGTAGAATTTCGCGTGGGAGAGTAAAGGAACGCGGTATCGATTGTCTTTTCTGGTACACTCCATCCTTTGGGAAAATGCGATAGATATTTTTTATTGATCGGGCCGCTGCCGCGCGGTTGCCCAGCCGAGAACGATGATTCTACTTGCTACCTTGATATATATTCGTGTACCACAATTGGAGTACAATTGTAGTAGGCGTAAAATCTCAATTATATCTTAGTGTATTGGATACACAATTAAGTTTAAATTAAATGTAAGTTACATTTTCGTTTCACATGATTTGAAAGAATTTTTATCGTTAAAATTTTGATTTGATAAATCAATCAACACACTGCCTCTAAAATTAAATGTTAAACACGAAGGTAGCAACATAATTGCATTGTTAACCAAAAGTTTTAATAACAAGAACACTCTAATTAAACAGTGTACGTCACATATTCATTTTACATATTCAGATTCCTCTATATAACGCCACGTTTGTCTACTAATATCTAATATTTTATATAGTAACGGAAAAACACTGTTTAGAACAAAATAAAGATTGAAAGCGGAGAACTATAATCTCAGTCAATATCTAGATTTGATCGTAATAATAATTAATTCATTAATTACCTTAATGATAAATTGAAAACATTGAGGTGTGCGATGAATGTGGGGGAAAGTCTTATTTTCTGTTCCTCATTAGAGCCCAAATCTATTAATTTGTGCATCTCCGTGTATCTGATTCTCCGATATAAAAACTTTATCGCCACTATTTATCGTAATGCTCGTGTATACTTAATAATACTTTGCACTCACTCGTTTCACATCCCCTTGTACAAACTTGCAACAATGTTCATCGTATTCTTCTTCTGTATTCACTTTCCGACACTAATTAAGAGTCTTAAATTAACCAACCGAATTTGTTAAGGATAAATATTTAGATGCAACCCCGGATACGATTTTAAACCCTTGCTCTACGATCTCGAATCATTAATGTAGCGAAGAATTTCAATCTGCGATTAGTAAACACGAATGTTATTCCTCAAGTCGAAAACATTTACACATATTCCCGATTTTTCACCCTTTATGGAGATTTTTAGAACTGTTGGAAGTCTTTTTCATAGAAAACTAAATTCGATATCGATTCCTTCAACATTAGAAAATAACAGAACTACGCGTTGATCTTTTATTGTTTACATACTTGGATTGTTTTATTACAATTTCCGATTCTAGATACGTAAATCTGATGTCACCACTAGTACGACGCTCGTTCTCAAGTGTTAAATATCACAGTTCAAAGTTTCACGTGAGAACATCTAACGGCAGATCTCATAATTGTTAAAAAAAAACAGATTCCTTTGATCTATTCCTTCTCCCGTGAAACCACAACTTCTGTCTTATAGATCTCCAATACGGTTGAAACTCAAAATTTTAAAAAATTCAATTTGTATCGTTACGTTTTAATTACTTAACGTGACGTAAGGATCAACTTAACGTAAGATGAGAAATTAAAAATGGAAAGTAAAGTGAAATAACACTTTTCAGAGCGAAGGAGAAAAGCGAACTGCGCGTGTCTCGGATCAGAGTCGCGACACTGGACCGAATTTTGTTTACATCCTTTCGATGACCTTGGTTCAGCTGAGCACCGAAGGATACTCGTATCGAAGCAAATAAAATACTTGAAAGGGCGCTTGCATATGTCGTGCTAAGCAGTTCCGAGCGTTGAATCACGTTTCCCGGAACGAATTAATGTTTATAACGTGCACTTCTTTTTTTCCAATCGGGGCGCAGGATAGTGCCAGCACATCGCCGCGTGAATCATATTAACTAACCGTAATTTTAAAACGAGACCAAAGGAGGTCTGAAGGAAGTAATAGTGAAAAAATAATGCAAATTTACAGCGAAATAAAAAAATCTTTTACCGTCTTCGAAATTTACTTTGCGATACAAAAGTGTCCTCGGACGATGTTATTAATCTTGGTGGTTTTAATTTTTGAGTTGGTATTGGTACATTCACAGTAATCGTTGACATAGTATGGAATATTTTTTGTACGCATTTGTATTTTAACCCCTTGACCTATAATTTCTTTCCCAATTGTGTTCAATAGCGATATTTTATTGTCCATAATTCATTAGAAATAGAGCAAAATTCTACACTTATTCTATGTCTACGTTTGCTCAGAAGTATTACAATTAATAATAGAAAAATAATATTCATTTCAGACTTGGAAGAATTAAATGATACTTGTATTTGTTAAATGCTATTTGAAATTTTCACCGCGAGTCGCACGATATTGTAGGGAAAATTATAGAAATTACAACAATTACAACAATTATTGGACAATACAAAAAACATAAAAACAGAAAAAAATTTAATTTAGACACACTTGTGTTAATTACATGAAATTATTAATCTTCCCCTTATTACACTTTTTACATTTACGTTTCATAACTTTATGTTTTTAACATTTCAGATAACATTTGTAGAATCTCAAAAATTCCACAAAACTGAAATAACGTACTTCAAAAAACAAAAGCTACAGCTAATTAAATTGAGTTCTCCTGTCATACCACCAGAAAAATAAGTTTCTAATTGTGGACAAAGTAAAGAATATGTCAACTATCGCAGTTGCCACGTCATCCATAGTTTCCCTTTGTTACAAAATCTTTAATTAATCATCAACCGCACCGTCAGCGAAGCAATCAAAGGGTGTAAGAGCGCGACACCTGAAAAACAGAAAAAAATCAATAAACCCGAATTTTTCGTGCGTCCGAGTCCCAATCCCACGAACGGCCCGGGCAAAAAACGTTCGTTTCGTTACGCCGGTATTAATAGCTTTATAGATTTTTTTGCAAAATATATTCACCGGGGAACTGGTTAGGGAAAATTAGATGGGTCCTAACTGGCAGAAGACACCTGGCGCCTAGGAAAGGAAATACCAGTGTGTACGTATACATGCGTAGTAGGCCTCTCGGACCGTGACGAACAAATGCACCGGCATGATACTATGACCGTAAACACGTTCACATAACCTCTTGATCCTGATTAGAATGTGAGTGAAGAGTCGCGCGATAGCATTGGATCACCGCTGCGATCCTAGCGGCGCAGTCTTGCACGGTTGTTCACGTGCAAAACGGAACCCGGAAGCAACTGTCAATTTCTTCTTCTTGTTTCGGGTCTGAAACCGGTGCCAGGCGTATTTTTCCATGGGAAAATCTGCCATCGGGCGATCCGAGGACAGGGTCAGAGTTCAGGCGAACCGCGGATTCAAACAGGTTGTGTCCGTACTGACCCAATGAACTAATTCCTCTTACCCTCGTCGATGCTTGCGACAACGTACTACCGGCACAATTGCTTTTATGTTTATTTTTATACACTTTCTTCTATGGACTATGCTTATGCTACGACAACGAGCGAACTACACTATTCGATACGCTTTGTTACTTTAATAATTATTTCCGTTTCCTACCTTTTTAATGTGCTGTAAATTTAAATTAATTTGTTTGGATGCATTGCTTTAATCATTATTTTTCCACTATTTTTTAATTTATTGTTTTGCATGTAACTAGATTTATGCCATGACAATGCACGTGTGGTATAATTAGTTTATTTACATTGCGTTCATAATTGCTTTTGTATTTGTTTTGAATCTACTGTTTCATTTATTAGGGTCTCATTTATTAATGCTTGAGTTACATTGTTTTAACTATTATTTTTATTTTTTCTTTAATCTGCTGTGACGTTCATTTACGAAATTTATTATTAATCATTGATCGACGCAATTTAAAGTTATTTTTCTGTTCTTGTTTGTTGTAGGATATACATATCTCGGATCAGCCCTTGTCGTCGAGCCATCTGTAGCTAATGGACCGAAGAAATGGTGAGTTTTTCTTCTTCCAATCACACTTTTTTGCACGATAGGACTCCATTTATCTGAAAGTCCGTTATCCGAGCGAATTTTTTCATGTCAACGTTTTTACGCAAAGTTGCACAGAATTTATATAGAATCACTGAATCATGGACAAAACCATTTATAAACCGAGTCGAAATTAATAAAGATAATGCAATTTGAAATTTAATGATGTATAATTGTACAAGTATAATTATACTGATGTGTAATTCTACAAATATCATTATATTGATGTGTAATTATATCGATATAATTATACTGATGTATAATTCTACAGATATAATTATATTGATGTGTAATTATACACATATAATTATATTAATGTCTAATTATACAGATATAATTACACTGATATATTATATTGATATATAATTATACTGATGTATAATTTACCTATACTTGTATCATTCATTACTTTAATACTGCATTAGTTATCAATTGCAAGGGACACAAGCTATACTTAAATCGCGTCAGATTCAAAACATTTATGCTAATATTATGGAATTAAACAGTTTCTATAAACGAACGTTTTATAACATGATATTCATTTTGTGTAAATATTTTCACGTCGATCAGCTTAGTAGACACTCCGAAATGGAATTCAATTTAAATAATCATTCAGTTAAAATTTCCATCTTACTTCATAATTTACTGCATTACTCTATCTCCAATCGGTATCGAATAAGTAATAACGTATCCGAAAAATAAATTACATCGATACATATGTCCAACTGCGTAATATTTGCTAATTTGTTATTTCATTTAATCAATGCATATGCATCAACTCGTATGCATAATATCCCGGCAAACGTCAGCTCTCGTTATTCCAACGAATAAAGAACGGCGTAATAAAGAATTCTCGATCGCCCATTATCCGAAGTACACCCTTATCGGAATGCTCGTGTTCCCCAGTATGTTCAGATAAACTGAGTCCTAACGTACATAGCATGTCCCGTTTACTTCGCGCAATGATTTCGTAATAAATTACGCACCGGTATTATAATTATAACTCCTCGAGACGTTTGTTGTTCTCTTCATCGTCGGCCGATAAGAAGTCATACCTCATGCACGCAGTACATACATACACATTGTTGCGTTACACGGTGCAGGAACAGTTGCTCGTTAAATAAATTAACCGTGAAAGTGTCTTGCCGCGTTCATAATTAGAGCTTGTTTGCCCGGGGAATATTGTTAACCGACCGCTCTTTAAATGATCGTAAATAATCCTCGGAGCGTACAGGAAACGGTCGGCGGGATTACGCTTTCTTACGCGTACATTACAAATTAAATGTTTCAACGAGAACGAAAAGAGGAATGAGGAAAAGGAAGAACAGAGAGGGAAGAAAGTCCTCTGACTCGTGCCTGCTACCGTTTCGGCTTGCGTCGGAAACCGAACTCCTTCTTACGTGCTAACAGTCCATTTGTCTTCTAAAAATTTTATGTAGTCGCTTATACAAACTTCCGAGAGGGGTTATTAACCTGGGCCCGCAGTTTCTCGATCAAAAGAAGAGATCACGCGTAATGCCGGCATAACGAGGTGCATAATTGGCCGCACGCAAGTAAATTGCGCGCTCGCGCGAACGCTCGTGCGCCCGTCGCGTTGTGTGTAGGTACACGCGGCGAAGTTTCGAGCCGATGCCGAACGTGTCCAAGCAAAAATCCTTTGGGATTACCCGCAGTGGAACTCATTCTCGACTGTGGATTTTGAATAGAATGCCGATCCCCATCAAAGGGCCCGCGTTAGGGTCGATTTCCGCGAAGTAAAACTGGCCAATTACTTCGATTGTCGATAGGCTATGCCTACCCCCCGAAAACTCGATTCTCATGCAAATTCGCGGCGAAGTTATCGAGATTATCGAGAAATCTTCGACGACACGGAGAAGTCGTAGTTTCATCTGTAGACTTACATGTTGTTATTTATGTAATTTTCAACATCGTCTACAATTTGCTCACATTTCATTTTTGCGCATGCTATCCCTGGTTGGATTTCTGGTACGTATGCCTTTAAAATTCGTCTATTTTTGTAGCGCTTATCTGTTTCATTCGATTTGTTTTGTTAGGGGTTGCAATTATGTTTCACTGTGCTATTAGAACTGAGTACTAGTTGTTTTCTTTTTTTGCGTTTCGAATTAATTTTATTCGAAGGTTTTAAGTTGTATACTGTCAGTGGTTAAAGCCACTGACCTCTTGTTCGAAACATCTCCACGTTCTTTGCATGTACAGTGGTACAACAAATATATTTTCTTCTACGAAGTTTATATTCTTACAAAATTCCTTTGTATCTCAATATTTAAACACTTTTACAGCGAATAATTTGAAAGTAAAACACATGTGCGAACGTAATTACAGTTTGACCAAACGTTTCAGTAGCTAACATAAGGGTTACTCTTCCCCATGTTTTATGCACATCATTTCATGAAATTGTTCTTTTTGCGGGGTTATTAACTCGGACAAAACGAACGGCTCTAATGAAGAGGAAACGTCGCGCGTTTCGTCGCGTGCTTTTTCCTTCCTCGAGAACTTTCCATGTCCCAGTTCAATTACAGAAACGTTTGGGAGCCTCTGCACACCGAGGCAGCCTCCTCCTCGACAGTGAAGCAGGCGTTCGAAAGAAAAAGAAAAAAAAACGTGGCACCTGCCTTCTCCTTACGAGCGCTGTGCTGAGGCCCAGGCTGCTCGCTCGTGCCACAACTGCAATCTGTTATTTCACCATCCCCCGGACTCTCGCTCGCGTGCGATCCTCTCTCTGTTTCTCTTCGCGTTTACCCTTACCACTTGGCTGCTCTCCTCTTCGCCGCAAGAAGCCTTATCGCCGATACGAACGTACAATCGTATAAACCGAGGATTTGTTGCTGGCCGTAACGATACCCGGCTACAGATAAGAGCAATTAAAGACAACATGCGGAGAACGGACAGTTTAACGAGCTCTGCGGGCTCGGCACTTTTTCATTTCCCATCGGTCGGTCAACTAATAGTTGCAAAACGTTCCTCGCGAGAGAGCAAAATTAAAGTCGCCCGAACGGTGTCGTTAAAAAAAAGTAATGCGCCGTTACGCGGGATCGGTAACGGCGATCGATGTGAATTATGGGCCATCTAATCGTTTAGACCGCGATTGGGGCAGTTTTTACGGTGAAGCGGAGAAGCAGTCGGGATTTAATTTATGGAAATGCACGTATCTACATTTCATCGGTGTTTTAATTCTGTGTTTTGTGTTTTTGTACGTTCTGCGATGCTTCAAAATGCACCTTACCTTTTTCAGTGCGTTCCTATTGAAATCTCAGAAAGGGAAGACAATCTTGTAGTTGTTCTACAAACTCACTGTTTGACCGGTGAAGGCATATGTGCATCCATGAAATTTGCACTTTTAACGTTTTAAATCAATCATGTAAGTGATAAAGTAATGTTGATATAACGGACATTTTGCACTAAAAGTACCAGACGTGTCAGCACGACTCATTTCTGATTTCTTCTTTTTACAATTATTAAAAACATAACAGATGTTTCTCTAAGAAATTATTAAGGAAACTGATTTAACAATACCCAAACTGAATGATAAATCAATTAAAGTCCCGATGGATGCACTCTCGGAATTTCTATAGAGAAATTTCGAAAAGTCAATTTAACTGCTCGGTAGTATTTGTCTTAAACTTTATTAGTTTGTAATGATACTGTTGTATTATGTAATTGTATTAACAGTATTATTGGGTTCATTCTAATTTAGTTCCCACATCCTTTACTAGGTTCCAATTTCAAATTTCCATGTAACATCCTTATCTCTCCGTTTATTTATGCATAACATTTCTAGCGTCGAATAAAATAGTAAAACGGGGCTACATTGATGTACTTGCATCGTAAAAGTAGCTACTTTCCCACCGATCGAATAATGAAACTTTCAGCGATCGTCGTGCAGGTATTAATGAGCGCGGAGCGGTCTAGATTTGCAACTGTATCAAAATTCATTTTGCAAAACCTGCCGTTCCCCTGACAGCTCATTAAAATCGGTGTGACAAATGTAACCGTTGTCGAGAACTAAGACTCCATCCAGTGATTCCTAGTGAAAAGATTAGACCCGGTGAGATTGTTATTCGACAATAGACGAGCTCGCTGGGAGTTCATAGAGATGCGAGGCGAAGATCGCTTTCGAGAGTCCTCTTCGGGCAGCACAGACTCGCGTGTACTAGGCCTCCGAGCAGCCTATCGTTGTTGGTTCACCGTGTTGCTTCAATGTTTAAGACCAATGCATGGCTAAACATTCATTTCCATATAAGCCGATATGTTTCAAATGTAAAGCATTACTCGTACGGCGGCTATGAGTGACGTGAAAAAAGATGAAAGGGCGAGAGATGAGACGATGAAAGAAAAAGGAAGACAGCCTGGAGAAACGAACTGGTACCGGCCGGAAACTAGTTTCAGAGCTGGGGGATCTTACCCTTCGGAAATCTTCACAATGGTACCATGGGATCCGTCGTGTTTCTGATTCTATCTTCTTTAACTGGCTCTATCGGGCCTTCTTGTGTTAATTCCGTCGTTGTGTAAGGTTACTTCTGCACCCGTGAGTGTGAGAACCGAATGGAAAATTCGTGGCGAATAAACATAATTATAGTGGTGGGCTATGCCAGTTCAGCGACACCTTGTAACGCGTGGAGATCGTCGTTTATATTCATCTGCTACACGCGTGAGAATATTTATTACTTACTCTTACGACTGATCGAATTCATGAGGAAATTTCTTGTTAATTTCAATAGCTGAAAGATTAATTTTAAAAAGTACATCTAATCGAAAATTGGGTTGTGTTTTTAACTTTGAGAGGTCATTGGAGCTTAGAGTTCGTTGGTTTCCTGTTGGATGTTTCGTTGCACGGTTGCATCCTCGAAAATTTGAAAATTGCGCACACGTGAAACGGGATGACCGCAAAGCCTGTCTTGGGCCCGATGAAAAGCGGTTCACTCTGCGGTGCATACGGACAATGCAGGC